TCCCGAACACCGCAGCCTCGACCCGCTGGGCTCCGGCGATCCTTCCGCCTCAGCCTTCCGAGTAGCCGGAATTACAGGCATGCACTACCACGCCCGGCTGATTTTTTGATTTATTGTAGAGATGAGGTCTCGCTGCCCAGGCGGGTCTCGAACCCGCGGGCTCAGGCCATCCACTCACCTCAGCCTCCCAAAGGCGCGGGATGACAGGCTGAGCCACCGAGCCCGGCTTCTGCTATACTTTAAAAGAAAATCGCTTTGGTCTCTAGGAAGACATCAGATGATAGGAGCGAGAGATATCAGAAGGCTTTCATAGGGGTTTAGGAATGAGGCAAGTGGCTTGGATGGGGGTATAGACAGGATGAATTTCAAAGGTAAAGAGGTAACAGATTAATGAATATATTATATATTCAATAATAGTTGAAGAATGAGAAAAAGGAAAATATTAAAGAAAATATTTAAAAAATATTAAAATATTAACGAGGAAAAGAAAATATTAAGAGTATCTGTTAGGCACACCATCTATTAATGTGAGGAAAGATGAGGGAGTACCAGCTTTGGGAAGGTTATCAAGCGTGCTATGAATCTTAATCATAATCTTAATTCCTCTGTTAGTCCATTGGTCCATCCTCCAGTCAACCATGTGAACATGATCCACTGCAAAACTAGAAGTTCCTCATATTTTACATGCAATTTCATAACTCCACGACTTTCGAAGTGCTTTCCTTTTTCCTATGATCTTCTTCCACCATCCTTGTGTAACTGGTGATTACTCTTCTTTCCACTTTAAATCTTCACCTTTATGAATATTACCCTTAGATTTCTAGGAATAATTAGCTCCTCTGCTGTATGACAGGTTTTAACTTATATGGTGCCATTAAACTATATTTGATGTATTAAGTAATTAAATATTTTCATGTCCACTATTCTGGATGAAGCTTCTTGAAGGTAGACTTTATATGCAATATTCCCAGAACCTAGCAAAATGATTGGCATTGTCTTATGTGCTCAATAAATGAATGTGACACAACCTCCAAATTCGTCGTTGTGCAAGACATTGGCATAACATGAGTTGAGTCTTCAATTTTTTAATAAATAAATGAACCTTGTACCAGAAATTGTATAACACACTCAACTCTATTCCTTGCAGTAGCATCGTCCACATTCCTTGCAGTAGCCTTGTCCACATGGAACTAAGGCCCAGTGAGATTAAGTAAACTGTCCAGGTTCATAGGGTAAGTGACAAAGGCAGAGTCTGATAATAGGTCTGATTACAAGTCAATATTCCTTGTATCACACTAATATTTCTTTAGAATTCTAGAGTTGTGATGTCTAGGATGGTAGCCTCTAGTAGCAAATCTCTACTGAGCAGTTGACATTAGGTAGTCTGAATAGAGGTATTAGATGTACTAATAGTGTAAGATACACTCTGAATTACAGACTTACTATGTTAACAGAATGAAAATTATTTGCATGCTGTTTACATGTTGAAGTAATATTTTGTGATATATTAAGCTAAATCGAATTTATCATTAATGTCTTATTTCTTTTTGCTTCTTTTAATGCAGTTGTTAAAAAAATGCTGAATTACCTATGTAATATTTCTTTTTTTTTGAGTTGGAGTCTCACTCTGTCACCCAGGCTGGAGTGCAGTGGCACACTCATGGCCACCACAGCTTCAACCTGCTGGGCTCAGGCAATCCTTCTGCCTCAGCCTTCCAAGTAGCTGGAACTACAGGTGCATGCTACCATGCTCAACTTCTTTTTTTGAATTATTGTAGAGATGAGGTCTCACCAACTTTTCCAGGCTGGTCTTGAACCCCTGAGCTTAGACAATCCTCTCACCTTAGCCTTTCAAAGTGCTGGAATTACAGACTTGAGCCACCATGCCCAGTTTACATGATATTTCTATTCAAGCTGTTCTAGAAGTTAGAGAAGGGACACATCCATACACAAAAGCAACAAAGTGAAGGATTTGACCACCATTTAAAAAGAGTTGTGAGTAAAGTGCTTCAGGATTTCATTGAAAGGAAAAAATATTTCAACAGGTGGAAATAGGGAATATAAAATTTATGTGAAGAACAGGTTTGACGTCAATGAAAGGAGATAAGGTGAAATTGCTTTTAAGTAAGAAAAACAGAATTAGAAAAACAAATGTAGAAGAGGAACAAAAATGACAAGAAATCTGGCATTCTAGACTGTGTTTTAGAAACATAAGTTAGGCATGATGGAGCCACAGGAATTAAGTTAGAAAAGGTATTCTGGGGACACTCAAAGTCAAGGAAAAGGACACAGACTTTCTTTTGAACCTATAAAAAGGTTTTTGTTTTTTCAAACAGGAAAGTGACAATGAAAACTTTTGGAATATATCAGATAGAAACATTGGTAAACAAAGTGATGAAAATCTGAACTAGGATACAGCAGTAAGGATGAAAGTTAGGAAAGTGTGATAAATTGTTACAATAAGGGCTACCCAATGAATGACCCTTCCCAGTATCCATACTTATGTGGAGTCTCTTTCTACACAAACTATGGAATGAGCTTAAGATTTGTTTTGTCCATTGGGGTGTCAGCAAACAAGATACAAGCAGAAATTTGATTAAGATTTGCACAAGGGGGCTTGATCTCCTGAAACTCTGACATCAAAGATTGTGAACGTAACTGGGATAAAACTCTAGTTGTCCCTAGTCATTCCAACAATCTGAGTTGACGTAGCAGCTAACAGTAATTGAATGATGTTCCAGAGCTAAACCAGCAGAAGAAACATCTAGTCAATCCACAGACTTGTGAGATATGAGTTATAATTGTTATTCAGCAACAGAGTAGCCACCCCCAATCTGTGGTTTCACCTTGTACAGTCTTTTGCTTTCTGCAGTTTCGGTTATCTGTGTCCAACCTGCTCTGAACATTATAGCATTTTGAGAGATGAACATTCATGCAATTTTGATTACAGTATATATTACAATTGTTCTATTTAATCATTGTTGTTAATCCCTTACTGTGCTTAATTTATAGAATAAACATTATCATAGATATGCATACATAGGAAAAAACATAGTCCGCATAGTCAGCCATCCTAATTCACAGGTTCCACATCTCTGGATTCAACCAACTATGGATAGAAAACATTAAGCAACGACAAAAAAGGATAACTGCATCAGTACTTTTTCCTTGACATTGTTCCCTGAACAAGACAGTATAACTTCTTTTGTTTTTTTTTTGAGTTGGAGTCTCACTCTGTTGCCCAAACTGGAGTGCAGTGGCGTGCTCCCGGCCACCACAGCCTCGACCTGTTGGGCTCCGGAGATCCTCCTGTCTCAGCCTTCCAAGTAGCTGGAACTACAGGTGCGCTCTACCACGCCCGGCTAATTTCTTGATTTATT